AATAACATAAAAAGGCTGGTTATATGCTTATTACTCGAGAGACTTTAACTTAAACATGAATACACTTGCTACGCACTCGCACGGCCGAAAGGCCTAAGGCCGTGTTATGAAAATAAATACTACGAACTAATATGCCCTTTAACATGAACAACCCAAGGTAAACGAAGTTACCTTTTACTTGCTTGCTGAACTACAAGGTACTCTCGGCGTTCGGCACTTCGTGCGATGCTCGCGGTGCGGCGTGCGGTGCGTATGTGCTAAGCTTTCTCGCGTGTGAACTAGTAAATAATCACTTAACTCCTTGCTGAATTTAGTGAACGTTTTGGAAGGAAATTATGGGGCTAAAACGTGATGAAAAATTCTCCCAAGTGCTTCCTTATATACTAAGCCGAAAGGGGGAGAATAAAATTTTGGGATGATGAAGTACTCATGTGGCTTTCTCAATTCTTCCCACTTGCCATAAAATGATAGGTTCGAAATGGTGAATCATCACCTTGGCCCTTCTTAGCATGCCACGTAAAGATCCTTAAAAGAGAAGAAACAAACTTTTCTCCCACCTTTAAAGAATGCTACGACATTGAGGAATAAAAAGGGAACAACTACGGCTTTTGGAATTTTAAGGAAAATTAATACGGTTTTTATTCAATTAAACCGTGGTTAATATTCCTTAATCACCCTTTATGATTAATTAATTATTAATCATAATACTTAATTACCAAAATTATTCCGAATGTAAACGGGACGTCGAAAATAATTCCGGGTAATCTCGACTGAAAATAATTAAATCCGACAATAATAATCGACAACGTTATTATATCGGAACTAAAACATGATTTATATTAATAAACTGACGGGATATTACACTATTTGCATCCTAATCACCTCTTAGTCAGATCTGCGTCAACTTAAGATTCCATCTTATCCAATCATGAATACACTGTCAAGTGTTTGAAATTGTCATAGACCTCCATACTTGAGGTGTAAGGAGTTGACCTCGAGTGTCGAGAGCTTGACTTGAAGCTCGCGCACGGGAACATGTTAGGAGGCTCTACTACTTCTCTTCGAATCGTCTTCACCTTCTTAGTGCAGCATATCGACTCCGAGCTAGTAGACTTTGATTTGAATAACTAAGAAGGTCGACATCGAGGATGTCGACCTTTTTCTGCCTTAATGGTCATGGAGGAAGTCGACTTAGGGATGTCGACTTCCTCCTTCATAGTTGGTGTAGGGGAAGTCGACTATGTGTTGACTTCAGAGTGTTCCAGTTTATATGTAGGCGGCTCGACTTTTCCTCCAAGTCGAGCGATAAGTACTTAGACCGGTATATTACAATACGGCTATATCAATATGCTAGATAATTGGAGGCTTGAGGTACTTATCAGATAGTACTCACCCAATATTGTAAGTTAGCGACTAAACTAAGATGTTCACAAGTAACTCTAGCGTTTAATTTTGATCACGCTGAATAGAGTATTAGACATAAAAAAAAACTCTAAGACAAAAAGTGACTACATGTTCACTTTAGGTGGGTAGAGTTGTGTCATGATAATAATCGAAGTACAAAGCAAGATCAACAATGGACTCCTAGATTATAAATTTTGACAAAAGGAGTGGATGAAGCAAAATGACTTAGAAATATTCTAAAAGATATTTCTTGGTAGAATAAATTATGCTTATCGTGGTGATTAGTTTTGATAATCAATCAGCCGTTGGAAGAGTGCAAAGTAGTTTGTACAGTAGTAAGTCTATACATAGACGTTGGAGACTTAATTTCAATAAGAAAATTATCTCGTGTGGGGGTTATATTGGTTGACTATGTGAAGTCAAAGATTAACCTAAAGGTTCTAGTTATAAAAAGCATGAAGCTAGATAAATTGTGCAAACTGGTTAGGGGAATGTGGTTAATAAAAACCACAACAAACGAATGGTCTTAGCGGTAACCCAACAGTTCAAAGGGAAAATTAACTTTTGACAGTTCAGTGGAACACATGAGAAATTTATGCACATTCTAGAATCGCTAAGTGTTAAAATCTACCTAAGTGGTGAGTTTAAGTCGAGGAGTTTAATTGATTCATTTACTTACGGGTGGAGTAAGACAAAATACTCTTAATAGGAGAGTCACCTTTGCATGTGAAAAGTAAATAGGCCGCTTCAATCGAACACTTACTAAATCGAGATATTGTCAAAGGCCGAAATGGACACATTGTGAGAACATGAAATTGTTAGAGTTGTTGTTGTGTGAGTACTATTGTCTTGGTGCACACAAACAGTTGGTGAGTTCAAAGCATCACGCTACTAACTGACTAGTGTATCTGATAGTATTTCATAAAAGAAGATTCAAAGCTACAAGCTATCTATCTTGATGAAATGACGAGTCGTCGGGTACATTCGAAAAGGTTTCTTTTGACATTTAAACCTCTTGGAGGTGTTTTCCTAAATTTATAAAAACATTTTGTCTTTGACAAGTGTTAGAACAATCCAAAAAAGACATGATAATGTAGTTTGTATGCTATAACTCTAGAGGGGTTCGTTAGAGACAAGTAAAAAAAAAGGGAACTCGATTCCGAGTCCATATGAGCTTATACGATCCTGCGGCGCACGGGCTCGCAGCTGGCTGCGGACACCGGAAGGTCGCAACTCTTAGTGATTATAAAGTGTCTTTTGGCCTCTAGATGCGCCCGTTCTCATTCGGGTACATTCCAAAAAGTGTCTTCTGACACTTAAACCTATTGTAGGTGTTTTCCTAAATTTATGAATACCAACATACATGGAACCATTCACAACTTGAAAATTAGAGAGCTCTTGTATTACTTTTAAAGATCATATCACATATTGTTCTCTTATTTTCCATTAAGTCTTGAGAGTTCCAAACAATAGTAGTGTTCACTGAAGGCTTATATATTTGAAGAACCGCTATATACAAGTCGAAAGTCATTTTATCTTGGAGGCGTTTGCCGTTAACCGTGGGTATTTTACGGGGCAATTTCGTCTTATGGAGAACATAATTATTACATGCCTCGACTTTGATTTTGTTTCATTTTATCCATTCTCCTTAAGCCGTCTTTTTTATATTCACAAACCACACAAACTACAACTAGTTTGGTAGCGGACAATACGGATCGAATGCTACAAAGGAAAAAAGATACAATAATTTTTTGTTGTTTTTTTCCCACAACTCTATGCAATAGATGTTACAATGTCATCAATTGAGAATGAAGAAACTTGTCACTACTTGAACTTATAATTCATTGGAACTACAAAGAGATGCAATATTATTAGGTCTCGTTTACTTGAAAGTATGGGATAAGATTGTTTAATCTCATGACATAGTTTTTGTCCCATGAGTCAGATTTACTAAATATGTAATTTATTTGGATATTCAATGTGTATAATGGACATTATATATGTGGTTTTTTGGACAAAAAGGTTATTTTTGTGTTGTGATAAAAATATTCCACCCTGCTCAAGTTGTGATCGAATTATCCTGCCAGTCATGGGTACATGCGTGTGTCCACCTAACACATACATGACATATAGGATTTATCCAAATCTCGACCTCTCTAATAAACACTGGGTAAAATACGCCGCACCCCCTGTGTTTAACGAAATGTGCGCGTTTCCCCACTGTGTTTTAAAAAATGCACCATACCCCCTTATATTTAAGTAATCGGTGCACGATTCCCCTATTCCGTCCAACCTGACGGCTCGTGTACCACAACTTCTCTAGCTGCGAAAATTGTTCATTTTCTTTTTTATTTTACAGAATTACAAAATTACCTTTATACCCTCCTGAATTATTGCAAAAGCTAAAATTTTGGAAAGAGTGGGAAGTAGGGTTCGAACTTAGGTTGCAAAGATTGAAAACGCCCACACAACCACTGAGCAAAATGTATAGCTTTGTAATTATTGAACATAAGGATATTTATAATATCATACGAAAATAAATTACATAAAATAAGATAAAGTATAATAGGTAAATTTAATATTAATTAAATAATCATAATAATAAAATAAATTAACACAAAATAATGTAATAATTTAATTAAAAAATTGAAATTAAATAAATTTATATTGCTAATTATTAAAATAAATTAATTATAAACATTTTGAAATGAAAAAAAATAATAATAATAATTAAAATTGAAAATAAAAATGAATAAATTAAAATAAACTAATTAAAAAAATAAAAATAATATTAATATAAGAGAATAAAGTATAAAAATGGTTAAGGTAAGATAACATAATAAATAAAATAACTTATGTGAAATAATAAACTAAAATAAATAAAAATCATAAATTAATATAATAAAATAAAAAAAAATTACAATTTATCAAATTATTTTAATATGATTACTCTTACAGAATATGAAATACAAAATTGAAATAAAT